GAGGGTTTAGAGAGTTTCAGGCTGGTGGTGTATGCAAGCGGTTTGGCGAAGCAGCTCTGCAAAAGGTTGCGAACGGTTGCGAAGTCGGATATCGTCGACGATATGTCGGGCTGTTGAAGTTTGATGCCGTGATATCACTAGCAAGGCGAATTGTTAACTCTTCAATCTTTGGTTGTGTTGCATGGCTGGTTTTTTACCCAGCACTAGCATATTGTAGCAGTTACTACAGCCCGATCTCCCTCCGTCATGCTGTCGTGCTTTGAACAATCGGCGACCTCGTTCTATGGTGCAATCTCAAGATGGTTTATGGTGCTTTGAGGAGTATACTCATTGTATATAATCGAGAACACCAGAGTAGCGGGTCCATGCCATGCAGAGCTGTTTGTTCCGCGAAGCGAACCCTGACAAACCTCAGATCAAGTGTGTCAAGCTACACACCGTGAATAGTGCGAACTCTCACTGGCACACAGAAGACATGCTAAAGTAAATGCTGGTTGGACGGCAGTCGGACATCTAGAACTATCCTTCCTGAGCCTTTCTGCTTGAAGACACACCCTAACCTTAAACCTTGAACTCCCCCAGCCCTATACCCGCACGCGGTTCGTTGCGAGTCCTCCAGGGCACTCTCGTTTGCAGCGTGGAGAAAATCGCCTGGACCTACTTGAAGTCTTGGTTTTTGCCTCTTGGTTTTCATCCCCAGAAGCTGCCGCTGAACCCTAATGTGGGGGCCTTTATAATTAGCATAGGGGTTGGGGTAGAAAATGCTAAAATTTTAAAAAGGAGCCCCCAAAACCCCATTCTAATTATTGAGGCCCCTACATTATTCGAGGTTTCAGTGCTCTTGGCGTTGATTGGTGGTTTCGAGACTGCGCGGGTGACTCTGTAGCTCCCCTCCTTCGCATATGGGACTCGTCCTCCCTTGATCGTTTTCGCACGGGGTTGGAGTGCAGCCTCTTGGTATTGCAAGATTGCAGCCCGAGCAAGGCATGTCCCAAGCCGTGCAGGGACACTACTTCCTGCAACCGCTTTTGACCGCATATTTGGAACGCCCAAATACAGCTCTGTTACCCTAAACTCTAAACCGTAGACCAGGGTCCCTAACCTAATCTGTCGCTTGAGGGTTTGGGGCTTATAAGTAGCTTGAGTGAGCATCAGGGGGTTGAACAACGGAGGCTCTAGGGTTTGGAGGCCGGAATCATCAGTAATGAGGGTCCCTTATAGCCCTTGTTTGTTTACGAAAGAACATAGTCCGAATATGTCCGAATCCCCATTCAAAACACTGAGGTCCTTGTACTAGACCTACAGACGTTGAGCTTCTACGCTTCAAAATTACACCGATTAGGGTCGCTAGTGCTTACGGCCTTGAGTCTAGGACATTTTCAGGTGGTAGTTACCGTTATAGGAGCCTTATAGAAGGTCTATATACCTTATAGAAGCCTTATAGAAGCCGGGGCCAAAATAATTACCTATATTTATTTTGGTGGTTCCTTATTATAAATATAGTATAATGGGCCCCAAAACCCTATTCTAATTATTAAGGCCCCAAAATTACGTAACATCGAAAGGATTGACTTGTTCGTGACCACGCTGGACGTCAGCCTCGAATTTGGGGCAGACTTCGGTGAGGCAGCCGCCTGGCACGAATCTCTGATCAAACTAAACTATGTGCAGATCCTGAAATGTAGCTCCTGCTGTCGGTCATTTTTTCCTTGAACTGGGACCCTGAAGCATAATCTAGACATGCCGCATCCAAACGGATGTGGCGAAACAAAGCCCCAGATTTCGTGTGATAGGAATTGCAGCTGCAGTTATAGAGCCCGTAAAATCGGCCTTGGCCTGGTTTTGTCGCACTTGGTAATAGCTTCTGCCGGCTGCGCCTGTGGATTTGGGGCTTGGTACGCGCCTCAGACCTAATTACAGGAGAAGAATCACAGCCCAACAACAAAGCGCGGCCTTTGCCACTTCAACGGACCTTCCTACATACAAGGCCATAGGTTGACTGTGCGCAAGGTATGTAGTAAGGTTTGCCTCTACAAATCTTGGAACCTACAGGGACAATTTCTGGATTTCGAACCCTGAACTCTGAACCCTAAACGGCCCTACTAATCCGGCCCTACTAATCCCTAAATGATGTTAGCCAAACCCTAATTGAGCCCCAAACCTTAAACCCACCCACGACTTGCAACCTTTGAATGTGATCCGCTCAGTTTGTGTTTTTCCGCTTCTTGCGCTTCCTGCGCTTCGTTCGCCTTCTTCGCATGGGCAAGTTCAGCCAGATCTCCATCTTCTTCCAGGACCTCGTGTAGTCTCGCAGTGCTAATTATCCGTGTGCCCTTTCATTTTGGGATCTCCTGGTATAGTTAGTCTACTATCTTGCTATGGGGACCATAAGGAAAGTTATTGTCAATTGTTCCGACCCCGAGCGAAGAATAAGAGCAACAAGGTCGTCGCAGCATTTCTTCGCATCAGCACGAAACAGCATTGCAAGTAGTTGAATGTATGGGGCTGTTGCTTTGTCTTGTGCTTCTGCCACTTACGCTGGGCCGCTGACTGTTTGAAGTCACCACCAGTAGTAGCTGCTGCCACTGCTAATTAATTAGGCTAGAACAAGGTTCGAGCAGTTTGAGTCCAAGCTTGAATCACAGCACTAGTACTGCTACTGCTTTTGGGGTTTAAGGTGTAGGGTTAGGGTTATCTCTACCTACGCTCACTTCGCCGGCGACCGCGAACTCTCGATGGGCAGCTGCCACTTTTGCCAGGTAAAGGATTCTGCCTGTTCTTGCAGCTGAACCCCTCAGGGTCCATGTGCTCAAATAGTCTATCCTTTGCGCCAAAGTACTTATACAGGCATACACTGTTTGAGTACATGGACCCTTAGGGATGCTTTCCGGCAGGCTTTGAGGTTTGGAAGCTTTCGCTGTGGATTCTAGGTCCTGCCAGGATCGGGCTTCATTTATCTTTACTTGGGAAGGGGGGTGGGGAGTGGGTGGGGGGAAGGATTTCGTTCTGGTGCTGCCAACTTTAAAAGAAAATGAGCTTTGAAGCCACGCCTGCCAGCACAAGTCACGACAGTGCTCGGGTTTGGGGAAGCCAGGATTATGACCAAGGAGAAAATGGGCTTTGAAGCCATGCTGCCGGCAAAAGTCAAGACAGCGCAGACATGCCTTTGAGAGTCACATTGAGGAGCTGTGCAGAGAAAACGTTCGACGCCCTAAGTTGCAAGGCTACATGGTTCTTGAAAGTCATTTTCACGAGCATATCTGCACTTTCTTGACTTTTGCTAGCAGGCGTGGGTTAGGAGCCCATTCCACATAAACCTGGCTACCGAAAACCCCTTCGCTCTTCTATGTACATGCGACCTCTTAGGAACCTCTATGCTATGTCATGGCTTCTTTTTTTTATTGTGGCCATCGCGACAGCAGCTTGAAGAAGGCAAGATTGAGGTTGGCAGCGCGATCAGGTCCCCAGTTCTACCTGGAGCGGTTGCTAGTATGGGGGCCGTAATAATTAGAATGGGCTTTTGGGGCTTTGGGGCCCATTATACTACATTTACAAGAAGGACCCCCTACTACAATTATAATAAGGAACCCCCCCAAAATAATACTACAATTATAATAAGGAACCCCCCCCAAAAGAATATAGGTAATTCCTGAGGCCCCTATATTACCGTCGTCCGCCGAGACTTTCCACCCCAAGCATTTTGCCCCAATTTACAGAAGGAGCCCAGACCTGCTGCTTACCTAATGGGGACCTGAATTATTACCAATAGTGTTTTGGGGGTTTGGGGGTTTGGGGGTTTAGGGTTTAGGGTTTAGGGATTAGGGTTTAGGGTTTAGGGTTTAGGGCGTCCCTTATTATAAATAGAGTATGGGCCCCAGAACCCTAGTCTAACTATTAAGGCCCCTACAGTATTCCCTTTAGCCGAGACACCGTCTCAAACTTGCTGTTGCAGGATCAGTTTGAGTCACCAACGGCCTCCTTGGAATTCAGCCTCCTCGTGCTCGGGATGCCTGATTTAGGGGTTCCGTGCTTTCGGGTTCGAGGATAAGCTGAAAAATAAACTAAACCCCTAAACCCTAAACCCTAAACAGGGTGATGATGCCATCGTTGCAGTATTGTTAGTGCAGACGCATTGATGAAGATGGTCAAAGCGATGAAAATGCTGGTGGTGATGTCGAGTAGCATAACATGGTAAGTAGTCATACATAGTACCATATCTGGTGCCTCTGCTTCTACTTCATTCGCATCATGACGGCCAGTCTTCTTGTCAGTCCTACTGTCGGTAGTGGCGGTGCTTTCATCAGAGTCGGGGTTGTTGCGACGAAGGTGGGGTAGATCTTGGCTTTTCTAATCGTGGTTCTTGTGCCGACGGGTTTGTAATCGGTGTTGTTGTGGTGTGGCTTGGGGTTTGTGCTTGCGGTCATCACCTTTCAGCATGGATCCCAGAGGGTCCAAGTACCAAACTAGTAGTTACTTGCGCCCCCCAAACTATACCTTCAACTACCAAACCCACTTTTTTTGTAGGTTCTTATTATAAACACCCTAATATGGAATTTATAGGGACCCTACAAAAAAGGTAGGTTTTGGGCGGTTAGGGTATACTATATTATTACGTGGACCCTGTGGGGAAGTTGTGGTTGGTCCCGGGATAGGGTTTAGGGTTTAGGGAAGCCCATGTGGCTTGATATCGCGGCTTTGCATTGGCGCTGCTGTCGAAGCTCCAAGGCCCTAGGCCCTGGGCCATGCAAGGTACGGTAGGGGCCTAAATAATTACCAACATTATATTTTGGGGCTCCTTGTTAAAAAAATAGCATGATGGGCCCAAAATCCTGTTCTAGTTATGAAGGCCCCTAAATTCTGCAATACTTTGGGTTTTGGGTTACTGTATTCGCCATGTTCTCTCCATCGTCACAAGTCCCTAGCCACGCGTCATGCAGGGTTTGACTTGATCTTTGCCAGGCAAGGCGAAGTCTGGGTGTTGCCTGACAACCAAGGTCGTGATGATTGTCATGATGTTGCTGGAGCACGTGATTGCATGTTTCTGGTTCGGGCTCGGCAGAATGGAATCCTCATCGGGCACGTGGCTCACACATTCGGCCGTCGCTGACGGCTCCTTCGCGAATCAGTGCACTTGGCAGCATTTTAAGGGCTCAGACGGTCATGGCTTTTCGTGCAGAGCCTTGAATCCTTGCAGAAATTCGTGAGACACTCAGGTACTGCTAATCCCTAAGCCCTAAACCCAACAAA